TTTAATAGCTGGAATTTGGAATTATACCTCTCAGTCCCTAGCTCTTCTCACACTGTTCAGATATGGTCATTTTTTCCTGGTAAAATTCTATGAATAAATGACATAAATCTAGCATTTTGTCAGTGACTATGTTAAAGAAGTTTTCAAGAAATAAGTTTCTGCCTGTAATATCAGCACCCTGGGTGGTTGAGGGAGGATGACCTGACATTTGAGTCCAGCCTGAGCAACTTAGCGATACCCTAATCTCAAAATATAAAATAAAAGAGTTAGTAATATAGCTCGTGCAAAGATCCTGAGTTCAATCCCTAGCGCCACACATAAATACACCCCAGGAGAAAGGGAGAGGGGGAGAGAAATAAGTTTGATACTGATCTTTTTTGAGGTTTTGATTTTTGGGGGGTTTGTTTAGACAGAGTCTTGCTGTATACTTTATTCTGGCCTTGAACTCACTCTGTTGCCCTGGCTGGCCTCAAACTCAAAACAATCCTCCTGCTTAAGCCTCCTAAGTGCTGGTATTGTGGCCATGCTCTATCATGTCTGGCTACATTTGATATAGATACTAACTAATGGAAGGTCAAGGGTGTCAGGCACACTTACAGATCACAGCAGAAACTAAGTTAATCATGGATACAGGAAACATGTCAAACCTGGGGTAGGAGAAGAATCAAATCCCCAGCATGGCTGGACATCATTCCTGTTTCTGTGTGCCTTGGGAAGAAGGAAGGGGTGACTTTGCTTTACACACTGATGGAAAAAACTGTAATCTACCTTATGAACTAACTTCATCAACTGCCCAAGCAAAATATTTTACTCGATTTGTTGTCAACAAATTTGTTGAGTGCTGTTTTATAATACCTTGCATTGAGTATCTTTTCATTCTTCCCTTCCCCCACAGCTCCTTAAAACCAAATGTGTTGGAATTGCTCTGGAAGCTACTACCGTATTACAGTTTTGGTCTCTTCTCAATTCCCACAGTGATTATCTTTTTCTTTTTAAAAAAAATCAATAGGCATGGTGGTACACGCTTGTAATCCTAGCACTCGGGAGGTTGAGGCAGGAGGATCACCATTTTGAGGCCAGCCTGGGCTACATTGTGAGTTCAATGCCAGACTTAACTGTACTATAGCAAGACCCTGTTCTCAAAAAACAACAACAGGGCCGGGGATTTAGCTCAGTGGTTTTGCCGCCTGCTGTGCAAGCAACAACAACAAAAAATTAACCCCTTTATCCTGGCCACTGTTTTTTGTTTTTGTTTTTTGATAGAAACTTGGTGTAACTACAACTGATTTTTTTTTTTTAAAGAAACATACTCTCCTTTTAAGCTAGTCATCTGTAGATCCATTATTTCATGACAAAAAATGCTAACAAAAATTAGAACTTTTCTCTCTGGTGCATTTCATCTGCCAGTCTACCACTGCGTCTTACTCCAAGTTCCTTCTGGTATGCCGCTTGCTTGAGGTGAATACTGAACCCTGGAGCTGGGGATTTAGCTCAGTAGTTCCGCCGCCTGCCTCACCATCGCAAGGTCCTGAGTTTGATCCCCAGTACCACAAAAAAAAAATGGTAAACCCTGGAGACACAGGGAGGCATGTAGATCAGAATGAGGGGCACAGAGGGAGCCCTGGCCTGATGGCAGATGGGGAAGAGCCAGACTCTGCCCCCTCACCAGCACCCAGATGCTGGGAGTCACTGACCTTGCAGGCACAGCTCCTTAGCATGTTCCAACTATATTTCATCCTGATAACCAGTTCCTTTTCTCTTGTCGCTTTTCTGTGTTTCTGACTGGAGTTTTTTCCTAAAAGACTTGGCCCTTTTTTCTCATCCACCAGGCATAGTAGTACTGTTTCCTGCCAAGCTAAGAGGTTTCAAAGTATAAGCATCTATCTTACATGAAATTTTGCCGAAAATTTTTGTTCATGAGGTTGCTGTTACTTTCCTCAGAGTTTGCCAAGTGTCTGGCTTATTTCAGTGTACTCTGTTAGCCTTGAAGGATTTCTCAGTGACTTAGCAGTCATGGGAGTAATGACACTGCCACAGGTAATTGCCTTTGTTTTCTTATGGCAGAAAAGCATTTCCACTTCTGCTACATGTAGCAAGTTCCACTGACATGAAAATTCAGATACCAATGATGTAGAAAAATTTGTGTATTAACTAGTTGGTGCAGGTTAGGAATTCTATATCAGATTTTCAGTTAGCTTTGAAGGTCTTTGGCAGTAGTGCATATTGTTTAGGATAAATGATAAAATGGACTTTTCCTCTGAAAATAATACTCTAGAAGGAATAAAATATGATTTATATAATAAAATATGCTACTAGAGTGTACATATGTGAGGTATTGTCAGGTGAGACATCCTTTTGAAGACAAGATATTACTCTGTTAGAGAATAGGATCAGTATATGATGTGGGCATATTGAATTCTCATTTACTTCCTAAATAATAGAATCTGAAAGAGTCCAGTCAGGAGTTGTTGACCCTACTTAATTTTCTTAAATTTTAGTAAACAGAGTGGACCTTCAGTTGACTCTCTAAAGAAAAAAATACCCAGGTATAAATATCTAAATTGACCATAAGTCAAAAATAGAGTCCAGCAAAAACAGTCTCTCGCATATTTTCCAAGAGAGAATGGTAGAACTGGCCTAGAGTTGTGGTGCTTGCTAGTGGTGAGAAATATCCAGCTTCTGAATTGCTGGCTTCCATGAGGATTCCTAGTTATTAAGCCACTATTAAGCATTACACAGAATTGTTTCAAATAAATCTGCTTTCTAGAATGTTGGTGCTGCCAAACACGATGGTACCCACCTGTAATCCCTGCACTCTGGGAGGCCAAGGCAGGAGAATCAAAAGTTGAAGCCCCGCCTAGGCTATTTAGCAAGACCCTGTCTCAAAATTAAAAATGTAAAAGGCTGGGGAAAGGCCCTGGTTCAAACCCTACCCCTTCCTACCCCCATGTGCACACCCAAAGAATATTGGTGCTTATTTTTTTGATAGTTTGGGACAAGTGTTTTTTAAAGACTGAAAAGCTAATACTTACAGAATGTTTTTAGTTAGTGACGGTGTAGCTAACAGCATGGTCTTGGGAGGCAGTTGCCATGGTTTGAATTCTGATACCACCAGACATCAACCTTTTTGTGTCACTTTTCTCATTCATAAAATAGGATAATAATACAAGTTGAGTATTCTTCATCTGAAATGCTTGAAACCAGAGTGTTTGAGATTTCAGGAGTTTTTTGTTCTGTTTTTAAGTACTTGCATATACATAAATGAGATATCTTGAAGATAGGATCCAAGTTAAACACAAAATTTGTGTGCCACCATGCCTGGCTCCCAAAGATATTTTTATACAATATTTTTAGCGTACCTGCATTTTAAGTGTAACCTGGTCCATGAGATCAGGTGTGGGATTTTCTACTATGGCATCTTTCAGTGCTTGAAATGTTTCAGTTTTTTTTTTAATGTTTCAAATTTTGGACTTTCAGATTAGGGATGCTCAACCCATGATACTTAATAAGGTTATGGGTATTAAAGGAATTGATTGTTTTTAAAGGAACTGATATTTGTAAATAGCCTGTGACTATTTGTGAAATGAGACTAGTATAGCTGCTGCTGAATCAAACACTACGTTCTAAAGTGTCTGTGTTCAGTCGACATTAAATTCCCCTTGTGTTTTACTTTTATATTTCTCAGTACATGAAGTATTATTTGGGTATAATTTGTTTAGATGACGGACTTTACAAACTATACTTAAGAGGAAAGCCAAACATTTTTCCTTGTGTATTTTTAAATGATATTCACAAACTTATGGGTTGTCCTGCATGTGGAAGAAGTAACCACTCTTTGATCACTTCTCCATCTAGAAGACACACTTTTAGAGTAGGAAATGACTTCAATTAAAGTAAAGCTTTATGAAAATAGTGTAATGATGATTAAATCCTGACTGTGATATTCATAAAATGGGAAGCTCTTACAGAAGGGGAGAATAGCATAATGGTATACCTAATGGGCATCCAAAGTTTGTGAAAATACAGTAGTTAGGTCTAGAAAAAGTAAGTTTACATCTTTTTTTTTCATTAGCTTTATTGGTACATTTTAGGTATACATTATGATCACATTCATCTTTGGGAATTTGTACCTGTACGTGGTATATGTTGGTTAAGTTTACATCTTAATAGAAAAACGGAACGTAATAAAAATAACCCAAACTCTGGTATTGCCTTCAGTGTTATGTGTTTAAAATATTATTGCTGTTTTAAAATGATCAGTTCTAGGATTTAGCAAGTTTTGAGCAATTGAAACTTCTCTTTTTAGTTCTCAATCTAATACATACTAATTTTTTAAAAATTTTGCTAGTTATCTCAGCACCTGAACATAATTGACCATTTTTCAAACATCTTTGCTTGTTACTACTTTTACTATTTCCTACAATGACTTGATTTGAAAGTCCCATCCATGTTTAGCTAGAGAGACATGGCTGCTGTTTCTAAGGACAGTTGTCTGATAATGAGGAATATCTAGCAATCTGTAAATGAGTATTGATTATTGATTGTTCCATTCTTCTTCCTGTGATTTCTTCCACTGAGAGTAAATGAATAAAGATTTGGGAGCTACTGGCACACTTACCCATGGGTTGTTTTTATCTCCTAAGAATTTCCCAAACCCAGCTCGTGGGAGAATAACGGGTATTTTTTACACTCCGCAAAGTGATGGCTAATGTTGACATTAGTTTGGTTTGTGGGTTTTGTTGGTGAGAGATTGGAGGGAGGACTTGGAGAATGGAGCAAGCAAGATGGCAGTATGGATCACCAAAATGCTATAATTTCAAGGCTACTTCTTTTAGACAAATTTAATTCCTTAAGTTTGGAATGCTTATTAATGGATTTCCACTAAGCAAAGGATACCTTTGAAGGGTATGTGGCATATTAACACTGTTTACTGTATATGCTGTTTTAAGTAATATACTTTGCGGATCTAATTGTAGTATATGGTGTTTAATCTATTTTAGAAACTGGATGGCTTCTACAGGGAGCCAGGCCTCTGATATAGACAAGATTTTTGGATTCTTCAGTGATGGCGCACCCCCCACCAAAAAGCCCAGGTAAACAAGAGAAGGGAATCAGGAGAACAGAGTATACTGGCATTAGTGGGAAGTCAAGAAAAAAAATCTGAACTTACCTTGTATTCTAATTGTTTTTGCTAATCAATAGTGACCTTAATTTAAAAGTTAAATCAAAAGGAAAAATAATTTATCACAATAATACATGTACAGTTTTAAGTCAGTAATTCAAGGCTCTTAATGCCCTACCTCTCAGAGATGATCAGTTTCAGCTTTTTACCTTCCTGACATCTATATACTTAAATACCTCATGTACACTGCTACATTTTAGTGAGGATTTTGTTTTGTTCAAATTATGGAAGGTAAGGATTTGGTTTGTTCTCATGACTTTTCCTGCCATACTGATGGCCCGCATACTTCCTCCTTGTCTTCCCAGCATGTCTATATCAGTGTGTGGTTCAACCAGCTTTTAATATTTACATTATTAGACTATCTAGTATTTGTTGCTAAGCCTGATATTGTGTTATTGTTATATTTCCTTTTTTGCCCGTTTCTTCTGTTTCTCATTTTTTTGTTTGCTTTATGTTTTCTATAACTTTCCCTTTATTATCAATGTGAGAGAAAAATAAGTCTCCTAGATGTGCTGAAAGACATAAATAACTCTCTGGTTTAACTTTTTCATAGATTCTTCCCTGTGGACTCAGCTGCACTCTAGGCAATTGTTTCCAGGCCCACTGCCTTGCTGATACTGTATGCCTGTTTCCCTTTCCCATCATCCTGAGAAGCCCTTTTACATCTCTCTCTATCTCATGAGATTGCTGTGTCTCATGTCTTCTTTTTTGGTGTACTCCTTCATTTTTGTAACACATACCTTTGTGTATCTCCTTAGTAAAGATTCATAGGAAAAATTTTTAGAGACATTAAATGTCTTTATCATATGCGTGCTTTTTTTGATGGTATGGCTGAGTTTTAGGTTGAAAATCATTTTTCTTAGAGTTTTGAAGGTATCACTCATTCTCTGCTAGCATCTAAGTATTCCTGCCACAGAGCCACTCCATTTTGATTTCCAGTATTCTTTGTATTAATGTGACCTTTTTCTTTGCTCATTAGAAGCTTGTAAAGATGATTTCATTCCCTGTTTCCTGAAATTTTACGATGATGTATCTTTATATAAAATCTAAACAGTGGATAATTCTTTCAAGCTAGTTACCAGTAACTTCACTTTAAGGACATTGACATGTATACTGTTACTTGTGTGTGTGGGGGGGGTGTGTATTAGAGATTGAACCCAAAGCCTTCACCCTATTTCCCTAGCCCTTATTTATTTTTTATTTTGAAACAGGCTCTGGCTAAGCTGCCAAGTTACCCAGACTGGGCTTGAATTTGGGATCCTCCTGCCCCAGTTTCCTAGAGATCTAGGATTACAGGCATGCATCTCCACATGTGGACTTGCAATTAAAATCTTCAATGTCTTGGTAGAACTCATGTTATTTTAGAGTCCAGTTGGACCTTCTGGATTAAGTTGTTAAGTTTTCTTACATATTGTAAAACTTATTTCCATCTAATTTTCTGTTTGTTTGGTTGGTTGGTTGGTTTGGGTGTTTGTCTGTTGGCCTCAAAATCAAGAAGCCTCTTGAGTACTGGAATTACAGGTGTGGGCTGCCACATCTGGCCTGGTTTGGTTTTTTTGTAACAGGGTCTTGCTGTGCAGTCCAGACTGGCTTTGAACCCACTTACATGTAGCCCACACTGGCCTTGAACCCATGATCTCCCTGCCTCAGCTTCATGAGTTAGGATTACAGGCTTGGACCATAACCCAGTTTTGTTTTGTTTTGTTTTCACTTTCTTGGAGAGTTTCTCATTTTTATCTTACATGTTATTTAATTTCTGAAAGCCCTTTTTGTTTGCATGTAGCTGCAAATTTTTAAGTCTATGTGAAGGTATTTTTTCTCTTATATTCTTCTTTCCTGTATTTTTTTGTTTCCACCAAATCTCTCCATCCCTGCTACTTTGTTTCGGTGTAATTGTCAGGATCTGAGCCTTCCTTAGATGTAAAGTCACCTTGTCCATCTGGTCATATTTAAGAGAACGCTAAGAAGCCACTTGAGGAGTGTGTGTACATAATAGGCTTGGTGGCTGAAGGGCTTCCTTCTGGCTGTCAAGGAAGCTGTCTCTGACAAAATGGGCTCAGGGTAGGGATTAGGCTGGCTCTTTGTGCCTGAAAGACCCTGAGTGCAGGTGGTTGGGGAGGTCTTAGATTTGGTAAAGAGACTTTACTTCCCCATCTCCCGATGAACATAAGTAGCTGGAATTATAGCCGTTCACCACCACACTACTAAATATTGCCTTTTAACTGGAAGTCTTAATTAGGAAAAATAGCTCAAGCATCTGTGCAGAGTTTTTTTAAAAACCCAGAAAAACAGAAAACCTCAGGGCTGGGAATGTAGCTCTGTGGTAGAGCTCTTGCCTAGCATGGGTAAAGCCCTGAGTTAGATCCCCTAGTACCATAAAAAAAATAAAAATTCAAGTACCAGCAGTTAACCACTATTAACAGTCCTTGTATCTCCTCCCACAAATTTTTCCTACATGTGTGTATTTGTGTATAATCACTATCTTGATTCCTCTAAATTAAACTTATATTTCATCATTTTCTTCCATTATCAATCTTTTCTAGTGGACTAAACTTAAGTCCAGAAACTCTGTTGTGTCCATTCATACATCTAGTGCCTACCATAGTGTCTGGTACTTGTAGGTTTTTAATGCTTGTTGGATAATTAAGTGCAGGAGCTTGGGATAGGGATGGATTTCTAGAGGTTGTTTCCCTAAAACAAGGTTTAATGGTGCTTCAGAGTACTTTTTGGGTTATGCCAAAATCTTGATCCTGTTTCTGTTCATTTTTTCATTTGAAAAAAAAGGTTGGCAAAGGCAGTCTCTTGGGGAAAAAAAGCATGCCATCAGCAAATATTAAAGTGAGGGAAGATATTTCAAACAGGGATTTTAATATATATAGTCTCTGGAATTAAAGGGAAGTGAGGAACCATGAGTTGAAGTTTTACTTTATGTTCCCTACTCTTTGATTCTAGAAACAAAAACTTGTACTCATGCTATTTCATCTATGTACTTCAAACAGATCTGTGCTTATCACAATAAGAAAGGAATGTTTTTTACTTTTTGTCATACACTTTAGGTTTCAGGATTCTAATGTCTTCCCTTCTTTTCCCTTCTTCCTCTCTTTTTTCCTTTCTTCCTCCTCCCTCTCTGTCCCTTTCTCCTTTTCTTTTGTCCTCCCTACCCCATCCCTTTCTTTTGTTTTTCCCTGAAGATATCTGGAACAAAACTGAGGACAGATTTGTCCTCATATTTGGCTATGGCATGCTCAGTTTTATCTTAATAATGTTTATAAAGTTTGGAGTTAGATTTTTATTGACTTTTATCTCGTTTTACATTTCTCAGCAGTAGGAATTAAATTTGTATGAAAATCTTTTCTCTTTCTGGAATAACAAACATATTCTTTTGAAATTTAATATTGGTTTAAAATATAATTTAGTTGGCAGAACTCTCCTGAGCTGTAATAATACATTTGGACCTTTTCCTGCTAGTAGTGGGTTTTCTTGGGTTGAGAGGACTATGAAGGAGAAAATTGATTTTAAGATTGCTTTTTAGGATTCCTGAAATAATAGGTTTCTTTGTTTTTCAGCAAGCTGTAGCACAATATTCTGGTCTTTTGTTTAAGCTATTTTGGAAAAGTATCAAAAATTGATACTTGTCGGGCCAGGGATTTAGCTCAGTGGTTCCGCTGCCTGCCTCGCAAGCGCAAGGTCCTGAGTTCAATCCCTGGTACAAAAAAGAAAAAATGGATACTTGTCATCTTTGCATGTATTAAAGTTACAGCTGAAAAACTATATGATCATAGCTGGCTATTGCTTTTGTCAGATGGTCTTTCCATGTGCCTCCTGTCCATTGGATATTTCAGTCCTCTCTTATGTTTTGCTTTTTCAGGAAGCTGCTTCCAAGCTTAAAAACAAAGAAGCCTCGGGAACTTGTGCTGGTCATTGGAACAGGCATCAGTGCTGCAGTGGCACCTCAGGTTCCAGCCCTAAAATCCTGGAAGGGGTTAATTCAGGCCCTACTGGATGCTGCAATTGACTTTGATCTTCTAGAAGAGGAGGAAAGCAAAAAGTTTCAGAAATGTCTCCATGAAGACAAGAACCTTGTCCATGTTGCTCATGACCTTATTCAGAAACTCTCTCCTGTGAGTACCTTCTAATGTTCCATGTCATTTGAAATTTTCTAAAGCCATGGTCTCTATGTTGAATTCAAAGGGGATATTCATTTATAACTTGTAGATTTACATAACATTTGGGCCTTCTGGAAAATTTCTATTGATGGACCCTCCTATGGACAATTATCGTGTGTGTGCACATGTGTGCATGAAAGAGAGGTTGAGAGAGAGAGGGATAGATGTTGAGACCTTTATAGATTTTTAAAAAATGACATCTTTAGCTGGGCATGGTGGGGCACACCTGTAATCCCAGCACTCAGAAGGCCGAGGCAGGAGGATTGCCCCAAGTTCAAGGCCAGCCTGAACTACAAAGTGAGACTGTCTCAAAACACTAAAATTTCTTTTACAAAAATTAAAATGAGACACATTATTCCTATATTTTGAATTTGCTTTTTCGGCACTCATTGCTATAAAAAGTGTATTCCCTTGGGGCCAGGGATTTAGCTCATTTGGCGTGGATTTGGCACTGTGCCTGCCTCACAAGCGCAAGGTCCTGAGTTCAATCCCTGGTACCAAAAAAAAAAAAAGTATATTCCCTGGCACCCATGCTCTTTAGGGAACTTTAGAAAGATTATAAATCTTGGGCCAGGGATTTAGCTCAGTGGTTCCGCTGCCTGCCTCGCAAGCACAAGGTCCTGAGTTTGATCCCCGGTACCAAAAAAAAAAATCTTACCATTTGACAGATAAAGCAAAAGCAGTTTTTGATGTTCTCTTATCAAACTAGGTTGGTTAAAGAGCTTCCTTGTCTTGCTTTGCCTTATTCAGAGCCAGGTGCTGTGATACACACCTGTAGGTCCAGTTACTAGGAAGGCTGAAGTGACAGATCACTTGAAACCAGGAGTTCAAGACCAGCCTGGACAACATAACAAGATTCTTTCTTAGATGAATCTTTTTTTTGTACCAGGGATCAAACTCGGGACCTTGCGCTTACGAGGCAGGCAGCAGAACCACTGAGCTAAATCCCCGACCCACAAGATTCTTTTTTAATAAAGAAATAAAGAATTAGGATTCAATTGAGATATGTTTGGAAATAATATAACTGAAGCGTGTTCTAAATTTATTTTTTATTTTTTTGCTATGCTGGGGATTGGAAACAAGGTCTTGAACGTGCTAGGCAAGTGCTCTACTGCCAGGCTACATCCCTGCAAATATTCTAAATTTTAATAAATCAGGTGCACTTGAAAAAAGTACCTCTAGCTCCTTCAGTTCATCTGTCAGTGATGATTTCATGCCACCCACTCACCCCCACATCCCCCATGTTGTACATTCCTGTGCCTTTAAGAGTTAGCTTCAAAAACAGGCATTTAAAAGTAAATTCCTATTGGTTCATAACTCATCATGGAACTTCAGGGCTTTTTACATCCTTTTCATTCCTTGTCCTTAAGTGGGATAACTTGTTACTCATGGGCTTTTAAAAAATTCACAGGATCTCTACATTATATACAAAAATTAATTTAAAATGGATTATAGGCCTAAAAAAAAAGAAAATATAAAACTTCATGTCTTACATTTCTCAGTGATTTAATAAAAAAGCAAATAATGTAATTTTAAAATGACAACAGATTGAAATAGATACTTTTCCAAGGAGGATAGACATGTGGCCAGTAAGCACATAAAAGAGGTCCACCAGCAGGCACTGTTTCATATCCCTGCAAAATGCTCTAACAAAAAGACAACAGACAATAGCAAGTGTTGATGAGGATGTAGAGAAATTGGAACCTTCATACTCGTTGATGAGAATGGAAAATGGTATAACTGCTCTAGAAAACGGTTTGGCAACTCCTCAAAATGTTAAACTGCTACTGTGTGCCCCAGCAATTTACTTTTGGATATATACTCCAGAGAATTAAAAGCATGTTCATGCAAGTACTGTACAGGAATGTTCGTAGCATAGTAGCCAAAAAGAGAAAACAGCCCAAATGTCCATCCACTTATGAATGGATAAATAAAACATTGTCTATCCACACAGTATTATTCAGCCATGAAAAAGAATACAATACTGATTCCTGCTACAGCATGGATGAATGTTGAAAACATGACAAGTGGAAAAGGCCAGACGCTAAGAACAGATTTTGTGATCCACACATACAAAAACTACTTACTAATCATTATCTCTTATGAATGTCGACACAAACATCTTCAGCAACATATAACTAAACTGAATGCAGCACTGTATAAAAAGAATTCTACAGATGGGAATTTAGCTCAGTGGCACCATGCCTGCCTCATAAGCACAAGGTCCTGAGTTCAGTCCCTGGTACCCCCCACCCCCACCCTGAAAAAAAGAATTTTACACCATGAGCAAGTAAGAATTTTCTGGGTATGCAAAGTTGATTTAACATGTGAAGATGAATATATCAAACCCACATGATTATTTCAACAGATACAGAAGAACCATTTTAACAATCCAACACTCTTTCGTGATAAAAGCACTCAACAAACTAGTAAGAAACAACCCCACCATGATAAAGACCATAAATGAAAAACTGGCAGATACCATCATTGATGGTGAGAGAGTAGATGCTTTCCCCTAAGATCAGAAGCAAGACAAGGCCGTTTGCCCACTTTGGTTCTATCCGACATTGTCCTGAAGGTGCCATCCAGGACAATTGGGCAGGCAAAGGGAATGAAAGACATCCCAATGAGAAAAGCAACAAGCTGTCTGTAGATGGCATAAATGTATCTACAGAAAATCCTCAGGAAACCAGGATTAGGGTAGAGAACTTATATACAAAAATCATTATTTTTTCAAGACACTTGAGGTAAACCATCCTAAAATGAAATTTCAAAAATCATTCCACCTAGCCAGGTGTAGTGGCGCATGCCTGTAACCCCAGCACTCGGGAGGCTGAGGCAGGAAGATTGCTGTGTGTTTAAGGCCAGCCTGGGCTACATAGTGAGACCTTGTCTCAAAAAAAAAAAGAAAAAAAATCAGTCAGTCATTCTACTTACAACAACATCCAAAAGAAATAGCCAGGCATAGTGCACCATGCCTATAACCCCAAGAAAGGTTGAGGTGGGAGGATTGTGAGTTTGAGGCAAGCCTGGGCCATAGTGAGATCTCATCTCCAATAAAAAAAAAGAGAACCTGATAGCTTTTACCATGAACAGCTGTAGAATTTAGTCCAATACCTTTTCTCCAACTAGTGACAGGATCATATGGCTTTTTCCTTTCCTCTGTTAAAATGTTGACTTTTGGGGGTGGATCTTCCAATGCTGAACCAACACTGCCATCCCTATAATAAAACCACTTTCTACATACTGCCAGATCTGACTTCTAAGTTTGTTTTATTAAACAAATTTCTGTGTTCATACTTTTATCTTCTATTATCTTTATCCAGTTTTAGTATTAGCACAATGTTTATTTCCTAAAATGAGGGGAGAAGGGTTCCTTCTTTTTTCTGCTTGAATTGTTTGATATAATTTATCAGTTAAAATGTGTACGAGCCTCTTGTTGTCATATAGGTAGGTTTTCAAGCTAGGAATATACTTTCTTTAATAGGTCCTATTCAAATTTTATATTTCCTCCAGAGTTAGTTTCATTAATTTGTCTTCCCAGGTACTTCTTTATCAAATTTACTTCAAAAAAGATTTTTGTGATATGCTTTCTATATCCTTTTAAATTCTGTAAAATATGTGGTAATGTCTCCTAGATCTTGATATTGCAATTTTAAAAATGTATAATTGATATTGTGTAATAGGAAGAAAAGGTCTAAAGAAGCAGGGGAAGTGGGAGGGGTAGGGGAAAGGAAAGAAGGGAAAAGAAAAAATATGAGAAAAGGAAAAAAATGGAAACAAAGTCTTTGCAAATAGGGAAGGGTGGAGGGGCTGAAGGGAGGGCAGGGGAAGGGGAAAAAAATAAGAACCAAGATACTCATGTAATGGTACAAGATCCCAATGATGAATATAACTATTTTATACTTAAAATGTACCAATAAACTTAATGGGAAGAAAAAAAAAAAGAAAAAGGAATAGGGCAGGAGACAACCCCTATGTTGAATGCACAAGTCCCTGAGTTCAGACACTAGCACCAAAAGAAGGATGGGGAGAGGGATAATTTTCACAAAAAAATTCAAAACTGATGCTATGAAAACTATAAAACATTTAAAGAGAGCTCAGTAACTGGAGTGACACATGTTCGTGGGTCAGAATAGAATACTGTCCAAATTGATACACAGATTAATTGTAGTCCCTATCAGAATCCCAGCTGGTATGTTTGTAGAACTTGACAAGCTAAGTCTAAAACTCATACAGAATTTCAGGGGACCCAAAACAGCCAAAACAATCTTGAAAAAGAGCAACATAGAAGGACTCACTTCCTGACTAAGAAACTTACTGCAGAGCAGCACTAATCAAATAGCATGGCAAAGAATTCTTAGCTGCAACACCAAAAGCACAAGCAACAAGATACACGGGAGGGACATAATGAGAATTTGAAACTTAATTGCATTAATGTTTGACATCAATAAAATGCAAAATCAACTCATAGAATTAAAAAATATATTTGCAGATCTTAGGTCTGATCAAGATCTAGTACTGAAATATATAAAAAACCATTAAAGTCAGTACAGTAATAAGGCAATTCAATTAAAACGGTAAAATAAGGCCAGGGATTTAGCTCAGTGGTTCCACCGCCTGCCTCACAAGCACAAGGTCCCGAGCTCGATCCCTGGTACTAAAAAAAAACATAGTAAAATGTCTATTTCTGGAGAAATAGGCATTTCTCTAAGGAAGATAAGCAAATGGTTAATAAGCACATGAAATGATAGTTGGCATCAGTCATTAGACAAATGCAAATTAAAACCACATGAAGAACTAACTAACTCACATTCACTAGGATGGTTAGAATCAAGAAGTAAAATAAACTGGGCACTCTGGTGCACACCTGTATCCCCAGCTGTGCAGGAAGTTGAGGCAGGAGGATTGCAGGTTGGAGCCCTGCCTGGGAAACAGTAGTAGCTCAATGGTGG